AGTCCGCCCTGGTTGCGTATCGCGGGAGCGCGATAAATACATAGTCGACCTTACCCGGCCCTTTAAAACACCTGATTATGTGAAAGTATTTTCCTGCCGGGTTGTGATGCACTATGTAGGTACCCTATACTCCGTATCTGTAATACCGATTTTTTTTTTGCATTACAATTTCCTCTGTTATTCACAACATATTGTAATGGACCTCATTTTGTCGCAATAAAAGATCCTGGAATTAAAGAATTACTTTACCTTCTAGCCTCTAGCTGCCTGGAGAGGGTTATCCTGTCGAGCTCCCTTTTTCGTGTTGACATCACCCCGATAACCGAAAAACATGAGCGCCACCCGGTCCTCGTCCATCCGCCTTTCCTAGAGGCTTGTGCTGACAATGGCATTCACTCCGAAAAGCCCGCGACTAGCTGGACTCTCTCCTATTAGGTTGGGGGGGGGGGAGAACTGGCTTCACCCCCCTTCCTCTACCCTTCTATAAGGTGCTACTTATTTTGACCAACCGGCCCATCGCCCTTCCTCACCTCAAAGCCTTTATTGTGTCAAAATAGTGGTTGGTCACCTTTTGGGGTTTTACTGAAATGTTTCACCTCTAAATTTTGGCCTCAAAAATAGCTTTTTATGGCTTTCGATATTTTCTTCAGTGTTGATTGTCCGTTTAAAGGAACTAGGAAGCGCCAAAATCTAGGCCTTGCGCGTCTGGATCTTGACCGTTACACAATACCCCCAAATATCGGTCTCGACATCGACGCATGACCCGCAAATCATGTGCGTTGGACCTAGTTTCTAGTTGCTGTCGAGACCTAGCCGTCGCGATGAATTGATTCTGGCACTTGCTAGTTCCTTTAAAAGCACCGGCAAGACTAGGCTATGGATTTTGTTGCTATGGATTTGACATGGACTTTGCCGCACCGCGAAACGCGACGAGCATGCCTGTTAACCGTCCCTTAAAATTCAGGTAGATTTTCAGCAGCACACCATCCTCCTCCAAGCCTCCAGCCTCACTTTTTGACCTTGAAATGCGATTAATTTGCATCAAGTGAAATCCCCAATCCCCTGCGGCTTTCCCCCAAGAACAGCGGCTCGGAGGGGCGCCCTCTCGTCATCAACCCGTTTATTGGATGCCAACGCAGCCTGGCTTGCCTCATGGAGGAATTATCAGCAAATTGATTATGCCCTCTGTCACGTCTGGGGAAGACAATATCCAGCCATCAGTGATTGGCATTAGGGCGGATATTTCCGGGGTGAGGAACTTGATGGTTTTCGATTTCTTTTTTGTTATATTCTTGGCATGACGTTGGTTCCGCATTGATCTTTGCTAGCTTTAAAGGGATAGGGGCGGCATAAGTCAATCGATTACGCGCGGGAAAGAAAATGTCTCTGCGCCTCTCCCCTGGCCGCCCTCTCTCGCCGCGGGACCTGTTGACCTACCCCTGCCCAAGGGGGGTTCAACAGATGCCGTCCTCATCTCTTTAAGGAGTACTATACGCTTTGCTTATGATTCAGGAAAGTTTAAAGCCAGTAACAGAGCAGTACAAGTGCAGGAGAAATCACTGAAGTTTGCATTTAGTGAACTCTGCGAGAATTCCTTATTTTCCTTTGAACGTCGCCTCGTCATTTATCCGTTTTTGTGCGCTGCAAAAGCTAGAACTTGGATTCATGGAACTCTCCTTGTCTCCCTCTCCCTTTTCACAACGTTCCTCCTGACGGACCGGTCAAGATCAACCTGCCCTCCGCCCTTGCGGGAGAATGACCGTTCACCTCCTCTTCACCTACCTGCCCTATGAGGGATTATAGCCTCAGGGTTAGAGGGAAATAACCACCCAATCGCAGGTTGGACTATTTGGATTCCTTGTTCCTCTTTTTTTGACTATTACCTTTTGTCTACTTTTATTGTATAAGATGATTCAACCTGCGTTTCATGGATTTATTGGTTCTGTTTCCAAGATTTTCACGCGCGTTTTTGAGAATTACTTACCGCACGGCTTCGAATTTGGTACATTAATATTTTAAGCTTACTTTCTATCTTTTCCTAGAGGTTTCTTCTGGCACTTTCGAAAACCGAAAAAACCCGGGAACTTCACCCATAGCGCGCGCCGTTTGTGGCGCCAATTCATGACTTCCCAGACGCACCTCCCTTTGGGACAAGCGATCACAAGCATGTGCACTTTCATGTTCCTGCTGTCGTTTCAAAATTGGCGGCATCGCACAGATCCGAAAGATCTGGATCTTGGGCTTTAAGCGTAAGCGGCTGAGATGGCGTCATTTTCGAATTTTCTCTGTGCTCGAAAAATACGTAGCATTGATAGGTTAGCCTGCAAATTGCCGTTGACCAGAATTCCTTGCTGTACCTTTTCTAATATTGACCGAAAACCCGTTTTGTCACTTCTGAATTTTCTTTTTTTCTAGCGGACCTATAAAGCTGAAAGTAACTTGCGTTTGTTTCGAAATTCTGGAGTTTAGTATGTGAGAATCGACTAGGTGCGAGATCGGCCCCATCCTAGTATCCCTCTACTAGCGTCTATCAGCTTCGATAGGGACTCGAGGTCACGTCAATCCCTCGAAACCTGTCCCTAAAAAATGAGTGGCTCGTTAGGGGACGGGGAAAACGGGAGGGGAGCGGGCGATGATGAGAGTGAAATCTTGCAGACGATATCGGCTTTATCACGCCCCGATTTTTTAGGTCTCGGGTTTGTCGTTTTAGCGTTTTTGCGCTTCAAAATTTTTACATACTTTTATAAAAAGCAAATACCTGCAGTAAAACGTTGTTTTGTTTCATTTTTAATAGATCTTGTGCAGAAGCGGTTCGATCTCGTCTAACGAACCTTTTCCCTTCATCCAAAGACCATCAGAAAAAAGTGAGAACTCGAGCGCCGTTCGGGGGCGTCCGCGATCCTGCTCCCAGATAGAATTGACGACACCCACTCTGCCATCCGCCAACCCGGGGCGCTGAAAACCGAAATCCCAAATGTTTTGTGTGGATTGGTCATGGTTTGGCGGGGGTGGATGGCAGTCAGAACCTCGAGGCAGCGTTTGGACGATTTTTGACGGATTTGTTGACAGCGTGCTTCTTACCAATTGTTCTGGCAATTTTGCTATTCTATTTATTGAGCGATTTTCCCATCTTCTCCAAAAATTGCTGCCAGGCACCTTTTCAGATTAAACCTTACGAAACCCCGTAATGAAATTTGCGTTAGCTATATTTCCTACAAAGACGGAAATATAGGTGTTAATAAAGGCTTCTGACAATATTTACGCTGATCTTTTTCCCTGTTCTAATTTCCCCAAATCTCTCCGCTAGGCACCCTGACCATGGGAACTGTGGGGTTGCTATAAAGGATCTATAAAACAAAGAAGCCATTTTGCGCTCAGCGCTTTTTGTACGCCGAGTTTTCTGCCCGTCTTTCTCCATCCGACAAATTAATAGATTAACGGAGTGCCGAGTGCAGTTTTGGTGCTCTGCCCTCGACCACCCATCCATTCAAGGATCGCCTGAACAAAGACTTGGTCTTGCAAAAATCTGGATTTTGCTGGCTCGATGGTCAAATCCATGCACTTCCCAATCTTCAGCTAGGGGGGATAGAGGATTTTCTAAATTTTGCAAAATTTGCATGGAGCGCGTCGGTTGTCAATGCAAATAACTTCATGTGTTCGTATTTTTAGTCCTCCAAAATCTACACAGCAATTTTAAAGGCACGATCTAATTACGCAAGTTAATCTATCGGTTGTGGGAAAACGTTTAAAACACCTGCCTGGTCTTTTCTCACTATGACAAAGAAGTTACTTGCTTTTGCTTCGCTTCCAGTTGCCCGTAAGCCAACTTGGCTTCCAGATCTAACCCAGATTAATATGAGAAACAGAGTCATTTGGTTGCTGCTGACTGGAAAAGATCATGTAATTTTCTCAGGTTCAAGATGTCAATTTGTTATTTTTTTGAGTTATCATCATCGATCTGACTATTTTTCATTCCTTCTTGTTTCCTTCACCAGAGCACAATATTCCAAAATCTATCTTCTCTTCCTCTGCAGCATCAGCAGCAGCTTCCCACGGCTTTTATCAACCGAAGAAAAGTTCCCAGGCATGTGCTTGTCGTTTTGTCCTCCAATCCAAGTCCATCCCAGTTCCAAAAACGCCCCGATCTAGCCGATGCGAGGGGTCATTGAGGCTTTTCACATCCCCAGATTTGAATGGGGTGCATTTCGCTGGCTAGATAGGAGGAGGGTGTCCCCTCGAATAGCCACGCTTACGGACAAGGCTTTTTCTAGGAGGGGTCGATAAGGAAAGTGACCGGTTTAGCCTTTATATCGGTAGAGAGAGGGAATGGGAACTGTTAGCCACTTGTTCGGGCCGGAAAGAGGTCTCGATGTCGTTTTCACCTGTTTTTTTGTCGATAGCTTCCTTGAATAGCCGACTTTCTCGAGTCGCGATTTCTGCTTGGTCTCTCAAACCCTGGTTTCGCTTTTAGAGATTCGATCGGGTTTGCTCCAGGGTTCCGTAACTTTTTATAATAGGTATGATTCACAAGGATTCGTCGTTGATTTGGCTTCTCCTTAAAAGTTCTATGAGTTTTGCTATTTTCAAAGCGCATTTTTACCGCATTTGGTCGGTCGGTTCGGTCAAAGTGCTATTTTGCTATTTTAAATTTATTTAATAAGTGTATTCGGCGATTTTCAAACTTATCTTTTGTGTAAAAAGCCCTATTTCGTTGTTACTTTAGCATATCTGTCTTTGATACGGTTTCTAAAGACGTTTTTCGAGTCCACATTGCCAAAAAGTAATTTTCAAAGCGATGCGTCTCGACCAAATGCGGTAAAAATGCGCTTCATTGCGCATGGTCAGGAATTCACGGAATCGTTTGTTTTATTGACATGCTATATTTAACTTTTTTTCCATTAATTCTGCTATTTTTTAGGTTATTTTTCTACAAATTTTCATCAACCATTTTTCAGGCCTACCCCCTCTCCCCATCGTCGAACGACCCTTGCCCGTGTTCCATGCGGGACCCGCCATCCCCTTGGTGGGCCGCCTACGGAGCCACATTTATATTTTTGCTATTGAGATCAACGGTTTCAGGTGGGTTTTGCGTTTTAAAGGGACCGATAAGTTTGAAAAAGGCGCAAAAATAAATGAAAACGTTAATATCTTGGTCTTGCATAGCATTTCACGAGGTTATTTTCAGCGGAATGTGTCTCCGACTACTACGCAGATGATATCTCTGTGGAACGGGCGGCTGATGTCTCATTTTATTTCACTGCGTAAGCGATTCAACCTATTAACAAATTTCAAGACAAATAGAATATTTTCTTGCAAATATTGCGTCCACAGATACAAAAAATAAGCCATTTTTAGACTCGAAATACGATCGCCGTTCGACTGCGCCCAATTTTGCGCAAATCGAAAATTCTGTCGGACCGCTGTCTACAACTCTTTTGCGAGGAGTTGTGCCATTTCATATGCGCAGAAGGTGGATTGTCGGTAGGAGTCATCTGGAAAACCAGTAAAATCCGAGTTCAGAGTGAGTACGCAACGCTACCTGGACGATTTCAAGCCGCAGGGCCATTTAGTGCAGATGGCTTGCTTCAAGGATTGTCACGAGTATAGATGTGGGTGCTTAACTGGTTTTAAGGGGTTGGGAAGCGCCAAATTCGACCTCTCCGTTCGACTAGGTGTAGACATCGAAGTGCTACACCTAAAAACGCTTCGATATTCTTAACTTTTCGAAAAAGCGTCTAACTTCCTGCCCAACGTCATGTAAAAGACCCTCAAAAAAACAGGTTACGCGTATCTTCGCGTACAACATAGTTGTCGAGGCCTAACAAAACCAGAGGGTATGTTCGGGCTTCGCAGGCTCTTTAAATTGGTGACGACACCTGATTTTTGCGCTTTAACTAGTGTAAATTATTGAACTTTCCAGATCTTGCGCGTCACCCAAAGCTTGTAACGGTTGGAGGAACCTACGATGCTCCAAAGATGCAAATCAAGATCATCACCGGAGAGCCGAATGACGGGAAGCCGGTAAGTAAAGCAGCTTCAGATCCCCACAAAACGTATTTTAAGGTATCACACAGCCCGGCCGACCCTCAAACCGCCAATCTACAAAATGATGCTCCTCCTCAACATCCAGGTGAGTACAAAATTCCCGCTTTTCAAGACTCACATGCGCGTTTCAAAATAGCTTATGGTTCTGGTAGACCTAAATATTGATTAAATAAAAATACAACGATAATATACCATGTTTTTAGCCAAAGGCAAAGTGTGCTTCACGACAAGCCCGGAAAGCTATTTGCTGGACGCGGATTTCCAAAAGATCTCTCCAGCCTCGATTAATGAGTGTCGGTAAGTGGCATTCTATGCGGCTCGTTTTTGCTCAATTCGTAGTGTAAAAGAGCTATAAAAACCTAGATGCCTTTGCGCTGCCACTTGGAAAAACGAGACCGCTTTTCACCGGTGCCTCTCTCTGCAGTACTCGGCTTCGACGAAGACGTGCTGGTTAAACAAAGGTATGTATCGGAAAGCCTCTATTCTTATATAGATTGCCAAGCCAAAGCTAAGCCTAAGCCAAGTCTGAGCCAAGCCTACGCCAAGCCCAAACTAAGCCTGACCTCTTTCATTTAAGGCACACACTTCGGCAAATACGACTTGATTGGCGATAAGAAGATGACGTACCAGCACATTACTTGCGACCCGAAAGGTATGGAGCTTCAGTAAAAAATTAAACCATTCTATTTCTTTAGTTCTTCTATCCGTCGCCTCAAAAGTGTGCAAAGAAGCGACGCCTCAAAACATCCTCGCGCTATTCGGACCGTCTACAACGACTACCGTACTACCAGAAACTGCAACGACTACGGTAGCCACTTCGACAATTAGTATACCAGAAACTACAACGGAATCAACTACTGAGGAAAATACTGTAACTGAAGAACCCGAAAACTGGGTTGAAAGTGAAGAACTGAACGACCGGCCTCATCACCGAGTCCACGCCGCTCCTCGGTACACCCCCGCGGAAAAGCGGAAAATAAGGAATCGGAATTTGCAACGAAAAAAGGCCGAAAGGGCTAGAAGAAGGAGACAAGAAGCCAGAAGAAGGCAGAATTGGCAGAAAGCTCAAAGAAAGCTGAATAGGCAAAAGAACCAGCGAAAGAATAGGAAGCTTCAGAAGGTAGTCGGTGTGTACTAAACGACACTGATATACACTGGGTGTGGAAGGTTATCAGAAATAACCATTTAATCCGAAGTTACAACAATAATAACATATATGATTTAGGGTTGCTGTGGTGAGGAGGAATATTTTCATATACATTTTTAACACAATTATTATTTTATCGGATACTAAAGATATTGACGAAACTGGGAATTTTACTTTGCACACACGGTTTCATTAATAACACCACTTTGCCAAATCATCTTTAATTGAATGGTTTTTTAGAAAATTGCTGCCGCACGACGAGAAGAAGTAACTACGAAGACTTCGACGACTACCGCTACGACTTCTGCAGCTCCGACAACAACTACTGAAGAAAAGACGACGGCTAGCAGTTCGACGTCAGCTTCTACGACAACAGCGAGTGCTGCTACTACAGCTACTACAACCTCTGAAGCGGAAGTGACGAAAGTGACCGTTGTTTCTGAAGCTGTCACAAGCCCGTCGACCTCGCCAAAACCTGATGGAGATAAGGACTTGCTGGAGGGATTGGTAGGTAGAGCTTGCAGATGATATGGAAGCCAGCAACATGTTAGACATGTTCAAGCAATGTCTTTGGACTCAGGGTTTCGTAGCGAAAAACGCAAAAGTAGATGATCTTCTCGAGCAGTCAAGCTGAACATCTCATTTTCAGGGCTCCAGAACCTCCACAACCCCCAACTGCTTCGAGGTGGTCGACGGCCAGCTGTTGAGTTCATCAGCTGGAGGGCTCGAGCAAGGAATATCGCTCCAGGAATGCCAATGTCTGTGCGCCAATAGCAAGTAGGTTCTAAATTCTTCCATTTTCCGAAACCACCAGGACTCTATCGTAAGCCTGCCTTTCAGGGCATCAGGACGCTTCGCCTTCGAGTGTTTATCTGCCACCTACTACCATAACGAGCGCGACTGTGTCTTGAACCTGGAGAACAGAGAGACAAGGCCAGAGGCGTTCCGAAGTGATGAGAATGTGACGTATATCGGGCTGACTTGTAGTCGAGGTAATGAATCCGCAGAGAGAGAGAGAGAGGGAGAGAGAGAGAGCGCGAGATGACGTCATATCTTTTCCAGGCGAAGCCCTCGCACAGCTTGTCAACTCGGAGAAACAGTACGGCTGCTTGGCCAAGGTTACCACGACCACGCTCGCTACGACGACCACCAAGGAGACTTATCCGAGTAAGGATCCATCTAAACGGATCTTGTATCTAGCCACGTCCCTTTCGAAAATGATAGCTTCAAAAAATTTCAGGCCAATCCGATGACTGCTTCGAGGAGCTCCCTTCCCACGTTTTGGAGGGCATCTCTCTAGCCGTAGAAGCTTCCGTTTCCCCACTGCAATGCAAGTGCTTCTGCGCAAATGCTGAAAAGAGGTGCCTTACTCTAATAAAATTTTTATACCCGGATTTAGATACGGTGAGAGCTGTCAGAGCGCTCAGTATTACTTCGAGAGCAAGACGTGTTTGATTAATAAGCAAAATCGGTGGGTTTTCTGGCTCTATCTCCCTCTCTTTCTTTATCTCGTTCTCTCTCACTCTTTCCCTCTCTCTCTCTCTCTCTCTCTCTCTCTCTCTCTCTCTCTTTCTCTCTCTCTTTTGCTATCGCTCTCTCTAATTCATCGTTTTATAGGTTCTCCAACCCCGAAAATTTCAACACCATCTCAAGCGGTGGTCAACTCCAGAGTTACCTTGAATACAAATGTGCTGCTAAAGGTAGCGATTACTATTTTCGTATCAATATCCTTATTTAGAAAAACTCAAAAAGAAATACCTCACCGACGACTGTGCTGAAATCTTCTCCAACTCCGAGTTGGCCGCTGTCTTGGATTCCAGCTCTCAAGCCGAGGCTTCATCAACAGTATCTACCACTACAAGCCAGAAAACCACCATAAAACCGAACACGCAAAGCTCCGCTAAAACGACAAAGGATTCTCATAAGACCAAGACTTGGAAGCACACAAAAAAGGAGCGAAAAGCCTCCCATCAAGCCGACCTTCAAGAGGATGAGAGTACGGAGGTCAAGACGAGAAGTACGGTAGAGATGGAGAGCTCGACAAAGAGTGCAAAGAAGGAGAAGCTGGCTGGGACTACGGAAGTTCCGACTACAACGATTACTAAATTGCCGGTGAAGAAGTTTCGGAGAAAGGTGGGTGGGCATTAAAGGGGACAAGAAACGTATAGAAGACCCTTTCGAGCGACTAGGTCTCGACCACTAAATGAGAATTTCATATGCTCAAAAAGAACTAAAATGCGCCCATTTGGACCACTAGGCATCAACAGCTACGCAAGGCGCTAAAATACGTGAAAAATGGCTCAGAATTTTGCTTGAACCTGCCGTTTCCTTTGTTTACGACTGGCGCGTAGTTGTCGATAGCTAGTCGTGACATAGCGTTCATTTTCGCATTTTCTCGCAACTTTAAAGGAGCTGACAAGGCATGTGTACAGATTATTTGTGTGCCGCTAATGCTCTAGGAGTGGTACCGCGCCCGCTACATGCAACGCACGAGTCCGTTCTTGGTTCCAGAATGCGTTGCGCCCCTTCTGCGGGAGCCGGGCGCGCGCTGCGTTTCGTGGGCTAAAATTCTATGAGATATCCATAGCCACAAA